ATATAGGGAAGGTAATGATCTGCTGTAATGCTCAGCTGTTTTGGGTATCTAGCAGGGCATTCCTAAATATAGTGTAAAAATGCTCTGCTGCAATACTCAGCTGTCTTGGCAATCTAGCAGAGCATTCCTAGCTTTAGTGAAAAAATGCTCTGCTGGAACGCTAAGCTGGCTAGGCTATCTAGCAGTGCATTACTAAATATAGTGTTAAAATGCTCTGCTGGAATGCTCAGCTGGCTAGCTAAGCTGGCTAGGCAATCTAGCAGGGCATTACTAAATATAGTGTAAAAATGCTCTGCTGAAATGCTAAGCTGGCTAGGCAATCTAGCAGGACAAGCTGGCTAGGCAATCTAGCAGGACATTACTAAATATAGTGTTAAAATGCTCTGCTGGAATGCTACGCTGGCTAGGCAATCTAGCAGGGCATTCCTAAATGTATTGAACAAATGCTTTTCTGGAATGCTAAGCTGGCTAGGCAATCTAGCAGGGCATTACTAAATATAGTGTAAAAATGCTCTGCTTGAATGTTAAGCTGGCTAGGCAATCTAGCAGGGCATTCCGAAATATTGTTAAAAAATGCTCTGGTGGAATGTTCAGTTGGCAGACTGATTCTGAGTTCCAAGTTTTATTGACATTTTCGACTTCTAGGCAATTCTTAGGCACTCGCAGACTTTCAGGAATTATCGGTGCAAATAGAAATAATGATATTTTTGACTTCTAAGGACCTTTAAGAGACTATTTCATTGTCCTGCGACTTTTTGAAAGACACTCGCAGACTTTCAGGAATTTTGGTGCCAATGCTGATATTGACAATTAAGACTTCTAGGGACCCTCAAGAGTCCATTTTGGTCGTCTGCGACTGATTCTTGGACACTCGCAGACTTTCAGGAATGGTTGGTGCCAATGGAAATATTCATATTTTTGACTTCTAGGGACCTTAAAGAGTCCATTTTATTGGCCTGCAGCGTAGTGTTGGACACTCGCAGACTTTCAGGAAAGTTTGGTGCCAATAGAGATGATGGCAATTTTTACTTCTAGGGACCCGCCAGAGTCCAATTTTATGGTCTGCGACTGAATCTGGGACATTCGCAGACTTTCAGGAATCTCTGGTGCCAATGGAGATAATGACTTTTTTGACTTCTAGCGACCCCCCAGAGTTCATTTCGCTGGTCTGCGACTGATTTTGGGACACTTGCAGACTTTCAGGAATTTTGATGCCAATGGAGATAATGACATTTCTGACTTTTAGGGAACCGCCAGAGTACATTTCTTGGGTCTGCGACTGATTCCTTGAGACTCGCAGACTTTCAGGATGTTTAGTGCCATTGCAGATCATGACTTTTTTACTTTTAAGGACCCCTTAGTCATAAGCAGAGCATTTTTACCCTAAAATGTCATTATCTGCATTAGCACCAAAAATTCCTGAAAGTCTGCAAGTGCCCTATAATCAGTCGCAGACCAACGAAAAAGACTCTGGATGGTCAAAAATGTCATAAATTGTAATTATCTCTATTGGCACCAACAATTCCTGAAAGTCTGTGACTGTCCAAGATTAAGTCGCAGACCAAAAAAATGGACCCTGGATGGTCCCTAGAAGTAAAAAATGTCATTATCTGCCTTGACATCAAAAATTCCTGAAAGTCTGTGAGTGCCTCAGAATCAGTCGCAGACCAAACCTATATTCAGAAAGGTCCCAATAAGTCAGAAATATCATTTTCTGCATTGACACCAAAATTCCTGAAAGTCTGCGAGTGACTCAGAATCAGTCGCAGACCAACGAAATAGACTCAGGAGGGTCCTTTTGAAGTAAAAATGTCATTACCTCCATTGGCACCGAAAATTTCTGAAAGTCTGCGAGTGTTGAAGAAACATTCGCAGACCAACGAAATGGACTCTGGATGGTCCTAAAAATTCACAATGTCATTATCTGCATTAACACCAAAAATTCCTGAAAGTCTGCGATCGTCCCAGAATCAGTCGGAGACCTAAGAAATAGACACTTGAGGGTCCCGTAGAAGTCAAAAATGTCATTATCTTCATTGGCACTAAATATTTCAGAAAGTCTACGAGTGCCAAATAATAAGTTGCAGACCAACGAAATTTATACTTTATTTAAGAATGCCCTGCCAGTTTGCCTAGACAGCTCAGCATTCCGGCAGGACATTTTTACACTAATTTTCAGAATGCTTTGCTGGATTGCCTAGCCAGCTGAGCATTTTTAACACTATATTTAGGAATGCCATGCTAGATTGCTTAGCTAGCTGAGCATACCAGCAGAGCATTTTTCGCACTATATTTTGGAACGCTCTGCTAGATTGCTTAGCCAGCTGTGCTTGCCAGCAGAGCATTTTTACACTATATTTAGGAATGCTCTGCTGGATTGCCTAGCCAGCTGAGCATTTTTAACACTATATTTAGGAATGCCCTTCTAGATTGCCTAGCCAGCAGAGCAATTCAGCAGAGAATTTTTACACTATATTTTGGAATGTCCCGCTAGATTGCTTAGCCAGCTGAGCATAAGAGCTAAGCATTTTTACACTATATTTAGGAATGCCCTGCTAGATTGCCTAGCCAGCTGAGCATACGAGCAGATCATGTTTACACTATATTTTGGAATACCCCGCTAGATTGCTTGCCAAGCTGAGCATAACAGCAGAGCATTTTTACATTATATTTTGAGATGTCCAGATAGATTGATTAGCCTGCTGAGCCTAACAGCAGAGCATTTTTACACTATATTTTGGAATGCCCCGCTAGATTGCTTAGCCAGCTGAGCATAACAGCAGAGCATTTTTACACTATATTTTGGAATGCCCCGCTAGATTGCTTAGCCAGCTGAGCATAACAGCAGAGCATTTTTACACTATATTTTGGAATGCTCCGCTAGATTGCTTAGGCAGCTGAGCATAACAGCAGAGCTTTTTACACTATATTTTGGAATGCCCCGCTAGATTACTTAGCCAGCTGAGTATTACAGCAGAGGTTTTTTTACACTATATTTAGGAATGCCCTGCTAGATTGCCTAGCCAGCTGAGCATACCAGCAGAGCATTTTTACGCTATTATGGAACGCCCCGCTAGATTGCTTAGCCAGCTGAGCATAACAGCAGAGCTTTTTACACTATATTTTGGAATGCCCCGCTAGATTGCTTAGCCAGCTGAGTATAACAGCAGAGTTTTTTTACACTATATTTAGGAATGCCCTGCTAGATTGCCTAGCCAGCTGAGCATACCAGCAGAGCATTTTTACGCTATTATGGAACGCCCCGCTAGATTGCCTAGCAAGCTGAGCATACCAGCAGAGCATTTTTACACTATATTTAGTAATGGCCTGCTAGATTGCTTACCCAGCTGAGCATACCAGCAAAGCATTTCTACACTTTATTTTGGAATGCTCTGCTAGATTGCTTACCCAGTTGAGCATAACAGCAGATCATTGATTTCCCTATATAAATCGTAATGCCTTTTTGCTTAGCTCACTGTTAACTGCTAACTTTTTAATTGGACTCGTTAAATCACTTCTATATTACCATATCCCCATATTTCCGCCCCATAAAGAAGAATAGGTTTTATTGTTTTATTAAAAAGATCTATTTGGATATCAATTGGTAAACTAAGTCGATTTGAGTTTCTTATTAAACTATACATTGCTCTAGTAGCTTGTAATGCTATATGCTTTTTAGTTTTAGTATATGATCCACTTTTACAAAATAAAACTCCTAGATACTTGTACTCCGTTACTACCTCTTATTTTTCGTTGTTCAAGATAAAATTATAGTTTTGTTGTCGTCCTTTAGAAAATACTACGATTTTAGATTTAGATGTATTTACAGTAAGTTTCCATATTTTACAATAATTTTCATACAAATGTAATGATTCTTGAAAACTTCAACCGATTCAGATAAAATAACAGTGTCATCAGCGTAAAGTAATATCAATATCTTCACGAATCACGAAATTTCACGAATTTCGTCTGCGTTTTGGTCATTTTGTACCGTGATTCCCATAGTGTCATTACTATTTGCAAAATAATCGCTAAGGTCATTCAAAAGATGTTCCCATCTTGTCGGCTAATCCTTGTTTACTCTTTGTTCTTTTATGTCACATCAAAGAAAAATAGGGACTTAATTAAAGCTGACAGAATAAATGACATCAAAGAAAAAGTTACCTATTGTTCATATGGCAACATATGTATCCTCTCGTATGCCCGGAAAGATGGGCACAGGCGGACGGACAGATATACAGACAAACGAACAGCTTAAAACTTTATGTCCCGGACATAAAGAAGGAAATTATTTAACAGCATGTATTTAATACATTTGTTTTGTGATTTTTTAGTCGTTTTATATTCTTTAAGTTAACTGGCTGATGCCTACAATATTGTTTAGGTTAATTATTTAGATTTTGTCACACCGTAAGCGTCGAAGCGAGGCTTAGGGTTTAAACTCAATTATGCGTGCATTACATACACACATAAATGTACTGTACACTTATATCTGTTTCTCATTTGGAATTTACAATGTGTGTAATAAATATTTAATCTGAACTTAAAGATAGATCATCGCTAAGGCAAAACAACAATTTCAAAACATATAATATTATCTCCATTTGATTATGAAATATAGCATGTTTCAGTAAATTCAGCTTACACTTTACAAAAGAAGACATTAAAATAAAAGAAGAGTAGTACTTTTACGAAACTGTATACCTACAAATGGTTTCACTTTTCTACTTACAAAAAAATGTTTGACGAGCATGAAGGCCAACATCGGTTGTTTGAAAGTTTGATTTCCATTTGTTCAAATAGTTTAATTACCAATATCGGTACTTACACCTGTAGAAAATCCGTTTCAGCAAAGAAATTAATTATTAACTACAAATATTGAAAGGCCAATCATTGTTATTGATTTCAACACGCTTAGGTTAATTCGTGGATCATGCATGTCAAAGTCTACATAAATTAGAAATTTAAAGGAATTGTATCATGGTAGAAGCTTGTACTTTATGATGTATATTAAAAAGCTTGTGCTGTTTTGTTGTTGTTTTTTTAACGACAAAGGAACAATTAATGTTAAAGCGCAATTTGTAAAAGAAATTAAAGGAATAAGATCCTGCATCTTATAAGGAAATTAAAAAGTGAAAGAATCGATGTTCACTCTGAGTTAGATGTGAAGATTTAAAAGACGAGAATGATGAGTCGGTGAGTAGTTGCTGTATTCAATTCAAGATAATAAGTGTTGATTCCGTATTCAATTTGATAAACGATTTGTACGAATTAATATGAAGCGGTTATTGAAAAAGATCAATAAATTTAATACATTTAATAAATTTAATACAGAATATACATAAATTCTATCACATACTCTGAAAATACTGAGAAAACAAACATATTAGTTTGACATCACTAAAATAAATAAAAATGACAAACGTATTAGCATATTATATGTATATGTAAGGCGATGCCTTGCCGTTTTTACGGAGTCCCAAAAGTAGCATGACTTTGTGATAAATAAAATTCATATAGTTAATTGTTGATGTTTTGTATCAGTGAATAGTGATATAGGGTTATAAAGTGCTAATTATATATTTAACTGATAAATTCATTGGGTAAATGTGACGCTAGAATGACATTGAACCTTACGTATTGCAAGCTAAAACACGTAAGGAAGAACATGCGCCTAATTGTCTTGACGCATTTAAGTCAATTTTAAGAGCTAAAAATTGTCTATTCATGTAAAGTGTCTCATTTTTATTTGTTTGGGTCGTCAGACCAAACAAATAATGGTAGCGAAATTTCAGACTCTAATGCTGTTAATTGCAAATGCCGAAAGTAGTCCGCTTTTTTGAAGCGGTTACTTCCCTTTATATGTAACACTAAGGCCGAAAAATTCAGGGGAGATCACTGCGTAAACATGGTCACATGACAGGCGCATTAATTTTCAAGCAAAATAATTCCCGAATGGTCGAAGATTAATATTGTTTTATTCTTTATAGATATACATGCTTATATAAATTCATTGTGGCCGATGGGTTTGCGCGCTCGCTTAGGAAGCGAGAGGTCTGGAGTTCAAATCCCAGTTAAGACAACTCTTTTTTTCAAATTGTTTAAGTCAAATAAACATTGGATTGAATATCAGTGTTGCAATTAGTCTTATAGCCAATTTACTACAATTAAAACACTGGAAAGCATTGGTGGCACTATACAAAAACAAATTGTTTTATAATCTCACAACCTTCACCTTTCTGACATTCTGAGACCCAAACAAATTCAGCGCCATCTGTGCTTTGATGTATCTTTCCTTTTAAAATTTCAGTCTTAATAAAAAGTATGAACAAAAAAGTGCACGTATAAGAGAGTTGTTTAATTTTAAGCAAACATTTCAATTTAACTACATTAATTTAAAATCAAATGGTTAAAATGTGTAAATGCATGTATGTTAAAGGCTTTGTACTATCATTTCATCTCCAAAAACTAGATAAGGCATTCACGAAATAGTATAAATAACTACAAACTACTTAAGCAACTAACGTTGGGGAGACCGGGCTCTTACAATATTGCTCTTACAATATTTACAGTACAATATAAATGTATTTACATTCGTTAATTTCATTTAATTTATGCATTGTTTCTGATTTTCAGGGAGTAAAATTAAACGGTGATTCTGACAACATTGAATTGTGTCTCTTTACAAACGCTCGTATTTTTGGTTGAATCAACACAAGATCGAAAATCTCTATCACGACCGAAATAAAACAATTGTGGGCTTCTATAACTTCAATGGAAGTCCTTCCTTTTATAATTCATTGAACATAAACTGATTATTTTAGTTATCATTCTAGGTTGTGGTAGCAAAAGAAACTTATCTTTAAAAAACAGTGTTTGCAATTCCAATTCCAACAATACTGTGTATTGTATTGTTATTGAAAAACATTTGGATGAAACATATTTTAAAATTAATATTTGTATAACGAAAATGCAAAGAACTGTTATTTCATCATTTAGGATCAGAAAAAAGATTTTGAACATATTGTTAATATGTGTCATAGGACTGGTAACATATGCTAGTTTACACATCATGTTGTCAAACAATGCCAAAATACCTGCAAATATAAAAGGAATGCACATGGCAACGGCGAACAGTGTTCAACATTTGCTTTTGACAGAACTTGAACAATTTACTAGGGACAGTGAAAAACATCAAACAACAGAAAGGATTATCCGAAAAGAATTCAGTGCCGGTTTAAAAGAAGATATTGCTCGTTTAAGCAACCAAAACCACAATAATAAAGATAATTATGTTCCGCTAGAAAGTCAAAAAACGAATGTTACAATAAATGAAAACAAAAGTTTTCAAAATAAAAATGCACAACTAAAAAGACAACCAAGTTGCAGCTCATGTTTCAAACACAACTTCAATTACGTGATACAAAACAAAAATATATGTCAGTTATATTCTTCAAATCAAACAATAGAATTATTAGTCCTCATCATGACGACACACAAAAACAATAGAGCAAGAGCGGCACTAAGATCAACATGGTTGTCTGTGACGAAACACAATAAAGGCAATGTGAGATACGCCTTTCTCCTAGGTGAAATTACTGATAAATGGCAAAAAGAAGCTGTCCTGGAGGAAAATAATATTCACCATGATATAATAAAGGAAGATTTCATTGACACATACATGAACTTAACTTACAAAACAATAATGGGTTTTAAGTGGGCAACATATTTTTGTCAGACAGCTCTTTACGTCATGAAAACCGATGATGATATGTTTGTAAATATTTCAAATCTTTTGAAAATGTTAACAGATACTAATAAAGAAAAACTACAGACATCTGTTATGGGTGCATGTTTATCAAGAGAAAAACCTATACGGAGTAACGAATCAAAATGGTTTGCCTCCTATGAAAGCTATCCGGATGAATTTTACCCAACGTTTTGTTCGGGGACAGGTTATGTCACAAGCATGCACGTAGTGAATAAAATATATTTGATATCACCAAATATTCCTTTCTTTCATCTAGAGGATATCTATGTTTCATTTTGTGTCAGAGCATTAGGCTTTGAGGCTCAGTCTATGCCTGGATTTAAAGTTGACCCAGTGGGAATAAATGCATGTGTTTATAAAGGTGATTATTTGATAACCGCTCATAGGATCACAACACACATGTTGCAGGACTTATGGAACAGTAAGTGTGATAGAAAATATATGAAATTATGGTATTTATTGGTCAGTCAATTTATAATGGTCATCGTGATAATTATCTTTTATGTAGGGGTGTTTTATATATTCAAAAGATATACAGACATATGCCAATACTTCACAAGTGTTCGTGAACGTTTTAGATTACATAGTTTCAAATAACATGCTTGATATATGCTGCCATTTTAACCTCTGAACACTGGACCTATTATGGCCAAGAAATCGAAGCTGTTAATGATTTCAATTATCTATGTACTATATTTAATTATACTAGTAAATTCATTCTTTATCAAGGACATTTTATTGGAAAAGCTTTAAATTCAATGAACATGCTGTTATGTAAATGCAAAGATTATGATCTTACTCCAAAAACATTATGTCAGTTCTTTAATGCCTTTGTTTCATCAATATTAATTTATTCATGTGAAATTTCGGGTTATTCTAAATTAAATTGAAAGAATACATTCAAAATTTTGTAAAAAGTTGTTAAAAGTTAGATTAAATACATGTAATACTAGTGTATATGGTGAACTTGGAAGATATCCATTATGTATTCATAGATATGTAAGAATTATTAAGTTCTGGTTAAAACTTGTAAATACAGACAATATAATATTAAAAACAGTTTACACTCAAACACTTGATTAGTCTGGATTACCTGCCCCTGTTACTACGTCATCGGGTCAGGCACAGTACAACAATGGCGGCGTTCAGCGGCGTTTTAGGAAGGTAATAGGCTAATGGATCGTGTGCATATTGAAATTGGGCACCCAAGAGATACCGTTGGCATAGTGATAGTTTGATACCATGAATTGATATGTAAGTATAAGAATTGTGTGCACAAGCTAGTTAATGTAAATAATTAATGTTAAACAAGTAGACATATATTCGGATATAACAATGACACGCATAATTTCGGATAACGCAAAATTACCTTCGAGACAATGTTAGTTCAGTACTTGTAATTATTTGTATGATGTTTTCGTAGTTTATTTGAGTTGGTGTAAATTGATGAGTACATGCGGATATTTGAATAGCTTTGGCAGTTCTTTGATATAATTGAGTTTACTTATAAATTTCTTGATGACAATAAATTTATTCTATTTATCTGTTTTGTTGTTATTTCAAGGAAGTAATTTTACATTACTGTTATCAGTGATTCTTGTCCAATTTTCAAAACAAGCTGTGACTGAACTGAAGGGAAATACAGGGAAAAAATTACTGGAACTTATGGAGTCTGTTATATTAACAGGAAAATCACTGTACACATATGGATTATGTTTGTGAAGTGAAAGTAAGTTAAACTGATATAAATCATGCTACATCTGTATGAAAGTTTAGTGTTTTCACATTTATAGGCCATATCCTGGTTGTAATATCTACTGGGAATGTAAGCCTTATTTGGCCAACCATCATAATTCATATAATACAAAAAAAAATCTAGAATAAAATATTTTTTACTGTAGAAGCTACCATTTTTGTGTCGCCTCTACGGAGTAGTGGCGACATATAGGGATCACTTCTCCGTCGTCTGTCTGTCCGTCTGTCCGTCTGTCTGTCTGTCTGTCTGTCCGTCTGTCCGTCCGTCCGTCACAAAACTTGTCCGGACTACTCCTCATAAACTACTGGTGCAATTTCATCCAAACTTTACAGGAATGATCAGTACCAAGTTTAGTTGTGCATATTGTCAGGATTTTTCCGGTTCAATGATTTTTGTCAGAGTTATGGCCCTTTAATAATTTTTAATTTTAAAGTTTGTCCGGACTACTTCTCTTATACCACTAATGCAATTTCAATGAAACTTTACAGGATTGATCTGTAGCTCAAGTCCTTGCGCATATTGCACGGGTTTTTCCGGTTGAATGATTTTTGGCCGAGTTATGGCCCTTTGATAAAAAGGTTTCTTTTTCTGTGTGTTGCCAGATACACAAAAGCTTGTCCGGACTACTCCTCATAAACTACTGGTGCAATTTCATCCAAACTTTACACAAATGATCAGTACCAAGTCTAGTTGTGCATATTGTCAGCATTTTCCGGTTCAATGATTTTTGTTTGAGTTATGGCCCTTTAAAAATTTTTATTTTTTAAAGTTTGTCCAGACTACTTCTCTTATACCACTTATGCAATTTCAATGAAACTTTACAGGATTGATCTGTAGCTCAAGTCCTTGCGCATATTGCACGGGTTTTCCGGTTGAATGATTTTTGGCCGAGTTATGGCCCTTTGATAAAAAGGTGTTTTTTTCTGTGTGTTGCCAGATACGCAAAAGCTTGTCCGGACTACTCCTCATAAACTACTGGTGCAATTTTATCCAAACTTTACAGGAATGATCAGTACAAAGTTGTTAGTCTAGTTGTGCACTGTCCGTCTGTCTGTCCGTCTGTCACAAAATTTGTCCCAACATGAAATTGGCCATCATGAGGCGACACATGTGATTACTGATCGCTCTTGTTAGATAAAAAAATCATGATTTCCAAAAGAAATTTGGGGAAATCATTTGGAGAAAAAAATAATTAGTGCTTCGGATATTCAACTGTAATAGAGAATGATTTTCAATTCTGATTTTGTAAATTACCTGTTGCTGTTCACATCATTTGGCGGCCTCTTTGATGTGCAGCATCAACATTTAATTTGTCACTTCTTGTAATGAAACAAAAACATTTCAACACATTAATTAATATGTATAATGATTTGTTTGTTTTGTTTTGGGTTTAATGTCACATTGACACAGTATAGGTCATATCGCGACGTTCCAGCTTTACTGGTGAATATATAATTGTTTAGGGATCAGGAATAGATAAACCAGCTGAACACCTGCCTTTTACCCTTAGTTTTTAGAACCCCAGTGACAATGTAATTATAAGCTTAAATTTCCACAAAAAAAAAAAAAAAAAAATGTTTTTTATTGCAAAATAAATACTGTTGGGAAGTTAAATTTTTAAGTTTTGCAGTACATTAACAGTGAGAAAAAAAATTTTTTAACCTAAAATGAACAATCACGCAAATAAATCCAGCTTGAGTAATTTTTTTTGGGAATATTTTATTTTCATGGGATTTTTCCAGTATGCAAGCTTAAATTTGAAACCTGCCAAGTGTCCGCACAGATATGTATATGACGTTGATTTACTCCAGATAAAGGCTTGGGTGTTTTATTTTTTTATTTTTAACATGATATACAGTAGCAAATGCTGAAGTTTTGGATATACTATTGTTTACTCTGCAAATGATTATAGCTAGTGTAAGAGGTCAGGTATTGCACTCATGATGCAGTGTCTATTCTAGGAGGGGAAATTGGGGGATTTACTCCTATTTTTGAGAATTCCCCCCTATTTTTTCAGAGGCAGGGGGACCATTTTACATAGAGAAAGAAGGGAAAAAACGAACAAATGTAATAAATTCTCACTTTTCGAAAAAAATCCCCCCTGTTTTTCAAATCCTAGAATAGACACTGATGATGTTCAAATTTTCAATGTCGGCATTCTGGAAATAGACAAGATATTACCATTTAAGAAAATTGAAATAAATTTTGTTATTTAGTTTTAGAAGAAATATGCATAAAATGTTCATAACATAAGGACTGATAGATCTCGACAATCACTGGACAAAGAAAAAACTGAATCAGACATTTTTCGGTGCCGTCAGGGTTTGGTGGTTGTAGGGTTTTGGTGGCCCCTGACCAGTAATAGTTGTTTATTTTTCAAATATCTTTGTAGTTCATCCCAATCAGGCGACAAAGAGTTGGATGGCATCCAATGATACCCCTGCCTTGAGCAGATAATACTTAATACACTGCATTTCTATATGTTGTTGTGTTAAGGGGGACCTGAAACCATGGATAAAAAGAAGAGCACTTACAGAAAGATTTCTTGTTCAAATAATATTTTAATACACCTTTTCTCTTTTCAGGTTATATTCAATGCAGCTTTATTACAAATGTAATGTATATATTTCATTAACATTCATTGCATAATTGTCAAAAACCATAATGTACTAAGTACAAAATTTGTTTATACTGTACAACTAAATCTTTTTGCATCGGCTTGAGAATAAATGTTTTAAGGTGTAACCAGGCACATTCTGCACTGCTGAGTTACCTCTAAACAGTTACATCAGAGCCTGATTGTCTTGACAGTATTAACAACGTGTGTTTGATTCTTTAAGAGTCAAATTACAAAAAGTAATATTCAGTTAGTATAATAATGATTGACAGTATTTTTAGGAGTAGTGCATGAATTGACAACTTCATTTGTATCCAAAAATGATGTCATACTCAGCATCCAGACTATTCTTGAAAGGTGTGTCGGAATAACATCCTTTCAAAATCCATGACTTGTTTAAAATGGGAAAAACAGTATTCTGTCTAATATGCAAAGGAAAGCATGTTCATATGAGTGAATGCCTTTAGAGGTTTTCATTCATGTATGTAAAAGCAGTCCTTTAAAAAGTCAGCAGACAGCATATTGATAATTCTAACTGCAGATAACAATTGTTGTTTGTGATTGTTTTCAGACTATGGACCATGGATATTCAAAGTCGACTACTCTACGTGAACTGGAAGGTACAAGGGCAGCAAGTTTTGTTTCTTTTGATCATGGGTATTTTACACCAAAAAACAGTACACCCAAAAAACAGGTCAAGAGAAAACATGAGTGTACTACACCTACTGGAAAAACACCCAAACATGCTGTGAAGTTTTGTGTGTTGGAGGTCAGTAATGTTCATATACCAATGTTAAATGGATATGATGTGGTTAGCAATGCCCCACTTTTGAACATTGAACACATAAGTTTTTTGTCTCTATGATTGTTTTTGTTGAATAGATATTGAACATCTTGAAATTATTTAAGTTTAGGCAAAGCTTTTGTCTCTGAAACTGAAAATAAGCAATAAAACAATATACCAAGTTGCAGAGATTTCCAGAGTTTACTGTGACAACTATTTTTGACAA